CACCTCCCAACACCATTAAATTGGTAACTATTATACATTTTAACACAAGTTATAGAAGGGACAAATACTTAAACCATAGTGTTCTGTCCCTGGCCCCACAAAAATGCATGTCTTTCTCATAAACAAAATATGTTTGTTCCATCCCAACACCCCCAAAAGTCCTAATTTGTTCCTGAATCAACTTTAAAGTCTAAGTCCATAGACTCATCTAAATATCAGCTAAATCAGATAAGCGTTAGCCTCAAAGTACAATTTATCCTGAAGTAAATTCCTATTCAGCTGTGAGCCTGCAAAATCAAACGAGTTATATGCTTCCAAAGTACAACGAGGAAACATGCATAGGATAGACATTATCATTCCAAAAGAGAAATAGGCAAGAAGAATGGAGTTATAGGCACCAAGTAAGTCTGAAACACAACAGGGTAAACAGCATCAAATCTTAAGGCTTGAGAAAAATCTTTGACTCTGTGTCTTGACTGGACAGACTACGGTGGATATGAGGCCCTCAAAGCTGAAAATGGCCCTACCCCAGCTAAGCATAGCCCACAGTTCAGCTCTCATAGATTGGAGTCAGGTGCCTGTGGCTTTCCCAGGCTGGCATTGCACACTGGTGCCCCTACTGGATCTCAAGCATGACACTGCCCCCATGGCTCCATTAAGCATTACCTTAGTAGAGACCCTCTGTGACAACCCTTTGCCAGTGATAAGTCTGCCTGGACCTTAAGGCTGTCCATGACATCTTTGGAAATCTAGGTGGAGGAAACCATGCCTCCACAACTCTTGCATTGTGAGCCTGCAGAATTTTGCACTATGTGGACACTGCCAAGGTTTACCACTTGTGCCCTCTAAAGTGGCAGCTTAAGCTATACCTGGGGCTGCTCGAGCCACAGCTAGGGTGCCAAGGATTGCTGTAAGCCAGAATGCAGGGAAGGGGAGCTCAGGCAGCCCTGGGTGGTAAGGTCATGGAAGGTGCCTCAGGCCAATCCCTTGAAACTATTCTTCCCTCAAGGTCCTAGAGCTCTGGGCCTGCAATGTGAGGGGCAGCTTTGAAGACCTTTAAAATGCCACTGGGGTGATTATCACATTGTCTTGATGGATAGTGCCTGGCTTCCTTCTATCCACACAAGTCTCTTTAGCAAAGGTCCATTGATCACACCCTTGGGTTTTTTCCTCCTAAAAGTGCTTTTTCATTCTTTACATTGCCAGGCTAGGGATTTTCCAGTTCTCTACATTCTGCTTCCCTTTTGATTATAAATTCCATTATTAAATCATTTCTCTTCTTGCATTTTACTACATGTGCTTAAGAGAAGCCTCACAGTCCTCTCAATATTTTGCTGCTTATAAATTTTCTGCCAGATATCCTACATCATCCTTGTTAAATTCTGCCTTCCATACAGCCCTTGCACATAGACACAATTCAAGCAAGTTTTTTGCTACTTCATAAAAAGATGGCTCCTCCTCCAGTTTCCAATAAGGTATTCCTTATTTCTATCTGAGCTGTTACCCATATTGCTCTTAATGCTCCATTCATGGCAACACAGGGTTTTTCCAGCAGTCGCTTCAAAACTATTCAAAAGCTGCTTCCACATTTTCAGACATTTGTTATAGCAACACCCCACTTCTTTGGTACCAATTTGTGTCTTAGTCCATTGTGCTACTATAACAGAATACCTGACACTGGGGAATTCATAAAGAACAGAAATTTATTTCATCACAGTTCTGGAGGCTGGGATGTCCAAAACCAAGGCCCTGGCCTTCTTGCTGAGTCATCACATGGTAGAAGACAGAAGGGTGAGAGAGAGAGAGAGTGCTCACTCCCAAAAGTCCTTTTTTATAATAGTGTAATCCATTTATGAGTAGAACACTCATGGCCTAATCACCTAGAACTTACACTACGATTAGATTGGCAATTAAATTTCAACATGAGTTTTGAAGGGGAAAAGCATTAGTAATACAGCACTTACTTAGTTTCTCCATTATTCTTTTATACATAGTCTTGATTTCATGGTCCATCAAAGAAACCCATTATTTTCTTGTACACACATCTGTTTGCCCAGAAAATTGGTAATCTTGTGACTCTCAATTCTGGCTGCATTATCAGAGATATCTGGGAACTTAAAAAAAAAAAAGATACACCATAGTCAGTCTAGACCAAGTAAATCAGAGCCTCTGCAAGTAAAATTCATGTACTGATATTCTTTATAAGAGCTTCCTGAATGGTTCTATGAGAATAACTGCCCTAATGTACCTATTTTTGTTTCAGAAAGGACTAATTATTCAACAACATTTGTGCCTCACTTTCAATTATATAAAGCTGTCATTGTGAAGCAGCTGCCTAGTTAGGGAGTCATTCCCATCACTCATCCTACCTCCACCCCACATCAAGGTAGGGCCAGGTGACTAGTTTTCACCAATAGAAAGTGAACTGAGGTTGGGGGTGGGTGGAGTAAAAAAGAAAAAAGAAAAAAAGAAAGTGGACTGAAAGAATGTATATGACTTCTGAGAAAAGGGCATTAAGAAACAAGTGTGTGCTCTGTAATATCTCTTTTCCCACTGCCAACTGTATGCAGAGGACTCTAAGGGTTTAGCAGATGCAAAATCACAAGATGGAAAGAGCTTGGGTCCAAGAATCACTTGAAAAAAAGTCATGCTTTGACAAAGCTTTATATCATAAGACTGCTAAGAGAAAAAGATAACACTTAACTATGTTAAGCCTCTAAAATTTGGACGTTTCATCAGCTACAGTTATCCAAATCAACAGAGAAATAGGTATCTTGAGGTGGGGTCCTGTTATGATAATCAAATATGTGGACTTATATTAATGAGTAGAAAATATGCATCAAGGAAATAATTAGCAGGCACTGGAAAGATGGACCAGTGGTAAGAAACATTTTGTGAATATTACTTGCAATAACTTGGAAAGCAGATTAAATGATTCTGAGCTTTGACTCTAAGAGCAGTTCTTCTCATGCAGACACAATTTTGCCCCCTGGAGGACATTGGACAATGTGTGGAGACATTTCTGGTTGTCATACTGGAGCAGGGAGGAAGTGGTAGGTAGAGACAAGAGATGTTCCTAAAACTCCTATAATATCCAATATAGTCCTCCACAACAGAGAGTTATCTGATAATGCTGAAGTTTTAAGAAGCCCTTCTCTGAAGGAAGTGGCTGGTAAGAGCCAGAAAATTAGTTACTTGCTCCTTGCTGTTTATTAAATAATACAAGAAAGAAATGAGCTCAGAAAATAGTTTTAAGGAAAACAAAGTATATCTTTATTTTGACATTCAGTTAAATATCTTGGCTTAGAGCAAGCCCAGAAATTTGGGGGCTTTTGTAGGTTTCAAAAACAATTTCTCCAGACTACAAACAGTAGGGGGGAAATAAGACTGAAAAATCAAAGCCTCAATAAGACTTCTCAGTTAAACAAATGGATTCATCCCTGCAACTAAGATTAAATTAAGGTTTTACGGCTGGGCGTGGTCGCTCACGCCTGTATTCCCAGCACTTTGGGAGGCCGAGGCAGGCAGATCACAAGGTCAGGAGTTCGAGACCAGCCTGGCCAATATGGTGAAACCCCATCTCTACTAAAAGTACAAAAAAATTAGCTGGGCGTGATGGTGGATACCTGTAATTCCAGCTACTTGGGAAGCTGAGGCAGCAGAATCGCCTGAACCTGGGAGGCAGAGGTTGCAGTGAACCAAGATCGCACCACTGCACTCCAGCCAGGGCAACAGAGCAAGACTCCGTCTCAAAAAAAATAAAAAAAAAAGTTTACTTTCCCAAACAAATCTATCCTTTAGATAATCTCTTGGACATGGGGCTAGTATCTACAGAAATATCTTAAGAATTACAAAAATCATGAAAATATTTTTCAAAGCCAACTTAGTTGTTACCATCTCTATTTCTCTTATCAGAATTACTATACCTCCTTATGCCACTCATCAGGATTAGTCTTGCATTTGCACTCTTTCAGTCACTTAACTCATCCTCCCTTTCTTACATGTTTCCTCCTTTCCATTGTAAATCTCTTCAATGCATATAGTCTTAGCCATATAGCCCATTCATGGACTAGAACATGTCTTACCTATGATATACAATTAGTGTTTGTTAAGTATATGTCTACTGAATATAAACTACTCTGCAAAGCATTCATCCCATGGTCTTTGATCTGTGGATGTTCATACTCCAGTATTAAGAGACACAATCACAAGAATCACTTTTCAATATGATAATTCTTACAGAATCTGAGGCACTAGACACTCATTTTCACATTAGGTATCACTGGGGAAGCAATTGCTATCTATTGGTCATTCTTCTATGCCAACTTCGAATTGCACAGGACTGCCCGAGACTAGTTACTAAGGAAAGTTGTCACTGACTTAAATAGGAAAAACAGAGAAGAGTACATATCTAAGAAGAGTAGTTACTCTTAAAGAATTTGAGTGATGATCTTTTAAGGTTAGGGGTTGAATTATAACAAAGTAAATTTTAGTACTTAAGTAGCAATAAGGATTAAAAAAAAAAAAAAAAAACCCACTACAACTGCCCACTGGAGGAAATGGAGAGTAGAAATGGCATGTGTATATATCAGGAAAGGCTAAGAAGTGATACAGACAATAATGATCTATTTTGCTACTTCAGATCAAGGTAGCTGAGCACCATATTTTTACACTGAGTTAAACAATTATTTGAACTTCTTGACCCGTCTAGGTGGCTCTGACATTAGGATGCTAATAGAGAGTTCACTAAAGATGGGAGGCAAAGCAACAATTTTAATTTCTTTTCTAGACCAAGTCCTGCTTCTTAATTGAATATACAAATCACAGAGCCAGACAGGGTGACTGGATCACATCCAGGTAAGGGGAATGGACGAAGTCACTCAAGAGCAGCAAAAATCAAGACCAATGCATAGTTTAAAATGTGAAGGATATATAGAAATCAGTGTAAAGAATGAATAAGCAACTAAATCCTGATTTTTTTTTACATAGTTCATATCTTGTTATGTTAGTTCTTTTATATGAACTTACAATTGAGCTAGATTGTTTTTTTTTTTTTTTCCCCAAATATGTATAGGTTTTCCACCTTGATTTCAAGATGTTCAAGGAAAGGAACCTCTTTCCTTTCTTTTATATTTTCCTAAATCCACCACAGCTGGCAGTCTTTGGCATTTAGTAAAACTCAGTAAATTTTGATTCACTGGATTTCATCATGACAAAGAATTCAACTTTCTACAACTCCTGCCACACAAAAAAAGCCCAAATCTCTCAGAAAAAAAAAGCAACATTATAATTTCCTATGTGAACTCATATAGATATATCTACTGTCACACAATTCTTGACTACTAGAAGTATAAGAAACATTGCACTGTCACTGGCTGAGAGTTTTGCGTCGAGGAATATCAATGTGAAAAAAATTTTGTGAAACTGGTAAGAGAACATGAGCCAATGGCAAATTTTTAAATGGATAAATAAATTGCCAGACACAGCCTCTGGTTTTTAGAACTTTGAGGGCAGATACAGAACCCAAATAGCTTTTGGCATCATCTGGTACAACTATTGATCAGTCTTTATAATTAAGGATAGAAGGATCCAAAACAGGGCTAGACTACCAGTGTTGGCAGATTTCAGAGAATAGCCATAAACCAAAGAACAGTAGTCTATTATTGGCTAGAGAAAGAGTCACAAGATCCACACTCATGTCCACAAAACAGTGAACCTTTTACTAGGGATTAAAGTTTAAAATCACACAGCTTAACAGTAATGTTAGTTTTACCACTAGGTGGCAATGAAACAGCTGCATTGCATTGACATGATTAATTTTAAAAACTGCAAATCCAGGAAAAGCAGAAATTCCAATATTTGTAGCACATATTTTCATTTTAGAAAAATTATTTTATATACAGCTTACTTTATAGTAGAACGTGTCATTATCTGATTCAAGATGTACGTTAACTCCTGATAGTTTTTCCCACTCTACACTGAGGAAATTCATGCAATGAACACAATTTCTAAGCACTTTCATCACACATCTTCTGAAAAATCTAGACAAACATATATCATGAAGATAGCAGAAATAATAGAAAGCTAAAAATATTTTTTGAAGTTTTAGTATTCTACAGAAAGCACTATAAAACGTTATTTAAAAAAAAAAGTTAAACCTTTAAAAAATGACTAATAGAGAACAATTCTAAATTATTTTAAAAAAATTTTTTTGGCCAAAACGTGAAACAGCATGGAAACACTTTACTTTTAAATTATGTTATATTAATATTAATATATGCAAAGTATTTTCAATGTCTTGAATAAACACAGTTTACAAAAAAATTTATCAAAATTCTGATTTAGATTACATTTTAGCAGATTAATCCCTTTTTACACATGTCAAAATAATAAACAACAATATTCCTTAGTGTCTGGCCTTTCCATAATTATTTCTGCTTTCTTCATAAAACAGGATACAAACGTGACTTATTTGAAATCATAAAGGCTTTATTCTTTTAATTTCCTTTTTTCATCAAAGGGTCAGGTATGACAACATTTTTCAAATTATAGACATTTGCGAGTATGCAGTAAAAAACTAACATAAAACAAAAAAACTTATTAAATCTCAAATTCCCAAGATGTTCTCCCATATAAGGTGGGAGCTCATATCATCACATGTAACATTACAAAACTTGTACTATAATTAGATGAATAAATAATAAACCTATACTATTATCAAATTCATAAAAGACCAAATTATCAAATTAATATCAGCCTATTTATTCCCTTGGTATAAATAACATAAAGTTCCCAAGGTTTTTAATTCCCAGTTTCCTACAAATGAATTGATAAGAATGCCTCTTTGTAGATGAGCTTTCCCATAGTTTCTCTCATTTGGCAATCATTTCCCATATTTAGTCCATTTCCAGAATAATCTCCCTCTTGCAACTCACACAAATGTAAGAGAACTGAGGTACGATATCCAAATAATTTTTATAATTCATAATTATTCCCCCATTACTGAATTTCATTTTTGATTATAAATCGCCCTGAAATCTAATATCTTTCTCATCCTGTCAGTCTATTAAAATATACAAAACACCATTTAAGATGGTTAACACAAGAAAAGATAACTATGGTAGCCTTCCTAAATCAAGCAAAAGATTTCAGAAAAGTGCTCAATGTGTCATCTCTAACTTTCACTAGAAAATTTAGGAAATGCCAATGCCACTGTTACAGAAGGTATAGTCGCAGATTCTAAAAAGTGAAAACGTGTACATGTAATTTGTATCTATTCAGTATCATCTTCTGATTATCTGTACAAATAAAAGGACAAAAGATACAAATGATGAAAACACATAATCCTCAAACCACTTCAGATACATTTTGTACCTGTATTTCACAGGACCAGGTCTGAGAATTTAGAACATTAAGCTATATTGCAAGAAGTTTAAGTATCACAAACACAATGAGCAGAACAATGATAAAATTGAAATGCCATTATTAACTTGACTTTGTCATCTTCTGTTTATTTCTGATGGTGGCTCGAAGTTTACGTATTACCAGTCTATCAGGTAGAATCATATCACCTTGTTGTTCTAGATAATCCAATAAATTTTCAGTCCATTGCAGAGCAGCCGCATGGTTAATATGTTTTTCTGGAATTAATTCTATTTCCTCCTCCTCATTTTCACTGGATTCATCTGTTTGGCCTTGTGCTCTTCTGATGATTTCACTATCAGTTAACACTTCATAGCCTGGTTCGGTACTGTCTATTTCAAGCCATTTTTCAAGGTTCTCAGTAGTCACATTTTCCAATCCTTTGGTGTGTTGTAAAATGGTAGCCACAGTAGCCACAGAAATATCTTCATCATCAAAGTCCAAACTTTCTTTCTCCTCTATCATAGGGAGAATCTTCTTCCATGCTCTGCTAATGGTAACTGGTTTTACTAAGTTCCATGCCATTGCTATTTCATAAAGTGCATCCAGCAGAGTTAGCTTCTTCCAGAATGATTTCAGGTCATTACCTTCTTCCAAGTTATTCTGGAGAAGACCTGCACGATAATTTCTCTTCATCGTTGCTATGACTCCCTGATCTGAAGGCTGAATCAATGAGGCCACATTAGGTGGTAAATATTTAGCAAATATTTGGCCATCATCTGACCTTAGGACATTTTCATTTGGATGTGTTGGTGAATTATCCAACAAGAGCACAGCCTTTTCCTGCAAGCCTTTGGATCTTAAATACTCTCGAACTTGTGGCACAAAAATTTTATCAAACCATTGTCGAAAAATGGAAAGGTCCATCCATGCACCTTTTTGGCTGAAATAAGAGACTGGCAGGTTTAAAGTGTCAGTTGATTTAAAGGAGCGAGGTTTCTTTGCTTTCCCCACAACACAAAGTTTAAGTTTGTGTAAACCTGTTGCATTGGCACAACACATGATCGTGACTCTTTCTTCAATTGACTTGTGCCCAGGGACAATGCATTTACCTTTGATTACTGAAATCCTAGAAGGCAAGCACTTCCAAAACAGTCCAGTTTCATCTGCATTGTAGATTTGTTCAGGCTGTAAATTCTCTCGTTCAATAAAATCTCTGAAGTTGTTACAAAAATCTTCCACAGCAGTCTCATCTCCATTTAATCTTTCATTTCTAATGTTAATCTCTCTAATGCTGTGCCGCTGCTTAAAACGAGTTAACCAACCGGCAGAGGGGTTAAAATCACCATCCATTCCCAAAGCATAAAAGAAGAACTCTGCCCTTTTTGCACAAATTGGTCCAGATACGGGATTCCCTTTTGCTCTTTGTTGGTTGAACCATTCCAGCATTGCCCTGTCCAATTCCTCATACATGGATGGCTTCATAGATTTCCTCTTGGCCAAAAGACTTGTGGAATCAGAACTGCTTGCATAAGTTATAATCTTTTCCTTATTTTTTCTTATATCCCTAACTGTTGTTTCACCAATTCCATAAATCACTGCCAGTTGTTTGGAAGAACCTCCGTCTTCAAGTTTCTTTATTATATCAAGCTTATCTTTAATAGTCAACACCACACGCTTCCGTTTCCCTGACATAGCGAGGTTCTGGGACTCAGCCCACACTCACAACGTAGCAATCCACAAAATCCTGACTTCTCTTATACAGACTCTCTTTAATGGTCTTGACACACTCTGTCTTTCAACCTTACCAGCAACCTGGTGGCCCTGATCCCCTCCCGGGCTGGGGTTGGCTGGCAAACAGACTGTAGAGGAAGGTGAAAGAGGAGGAAGTTTGAGAGAACAGGCCTTTAACTTATACGGGCAGTAGCGGAGGCCCCATGTCATTGCGGATAATCCGGATTAAAGACATGTGTTTTATTACCGCAGCAGCCGCGAGAAAGGCTATAGCCCCACCGTGGCCACGAACCTCCTGCACGTCCAAATCCCCGGTAAGCGCCAGTCACTAAACCCTGCCACACCCCAAAGTTACGGCAGAGAGCGGAAGAGCCAAGGAGTCAAGGACTGGCTCCCTTCCTCAGGGGAACGGATATGTTAGATTCCTTCCCCAGCAGCAGGGTCCTCCCACCGCGCAGCCCCAGTTCCACGCGCCGGCCTTAGCCAGGACAGTCCTCCCAGTCCCTCACAGACCGCCAGACCCCTCTCCCCACCTCTGTTGCAACCAGGACCCGCACAGCTCCCTGACTACCGCGCGGCAACCGCTCCGCCCCTAGCCACACTCCCGGAAGACGCTCCCTCCCACTGCCCGGTCCTGCCCCTCTCCCCTCCCAGAGGCGGGACTTCCCCTGGTTCCCGGAAGAGGGAGGAGCGTCGCTTGTCTAGAGCTGGTGCCTGGGGCGGAGGCGGAGGCGGAGGCGGAGGCGGAGGCGCTTTGAAAGGTGAGAGCGCGAGGGCGGTGCGGGGCTGTCTCCTGGCTGGGACTCGATCGCGCTCAGGCTGCTAATGGTTTATTGGAGTGGCGGGGGAAGCCGCGCCTCTTGGCGGGCCAAGAGAAAATTTCCCGCGGGCGCTCTTTGGGTGGACCCAAGGGCGCCCCTTAACCCTTTGCGCCTTTAGCCCTCCTCTTCAGCTGAGCTGCAGTGGGCGCGGTGCCCGTTATTTCCACCTTGGGGAGGTGCTTGGAACTGATGTGGGGAGCTCAATTGGTGATTTCTCGGGTTTCTGGCCTGTTCAGACCCTTGTAATTGTTTTCTCGGTGCAGAGCCCTTTTGGGGTCTGGAGGTTTCTGTCGTTCTGCGCGCGTCATCGCGAACCTCTTTCTGAGGGTCCGGTTTCCTAGCTACTGTGCCCCTCCCTCCTGGAGGCAGAGTGACGGACGAGCGGCCTAGCGGGCGCTGGGTGCCTGCGTCCCGCCAAAGAGGTTTGTAATTATGAAAATCACCCTTTCAGGTGTTCATTCCTGAGAGGATCTATTCGTCTGTCTACCACTCATTCCTGCTGGATTAGACTAACCACCTTCATTGTTAACTGATTTTAATGAGTAGTATAGTTATTCCGGATACCATGCTGGTAGTATCCACTTTGCGAAATTGTGCCGTGTTGGACTGTGATTCTAAAGGGGAGAAATTGGCTTTCCTCTCTTTATGTTTATTTCCCTATTTCTGTCATGTTCTGCTGTCCTGTTTTCCAGCCAATAGAAGGACTATGTTAAATTTATTCACAGCAATGTGATAAGAACTTGATCATAATCATACACTGCAGCCCTCAAATCGTGTATTATGCTGGCTTGTTTTTGGTGTCCCTAGTAATTTCATCAGATTGTGAGCTCTTTGGGAGCAGAGACCATGATGTTTATTATATCTGGTGACAGCACAATTCCAAGCAGGTCCTTGTCTTTTGGTAGATATTCAGTAATTATTTTTTTGGTTAATAATGTTTGCTCTCCAAACTGCCATATAAAAGAAAACATCAAAGAGGTGTGACGTTTTACGCACAAGAATGGATCCCTCCCAGTGGAAGTCCAAATTATGATCTGGGATTCCACTGCCTTTCACATCTCAAAAGTGTTAATTACCACCTGCATTGTTTATATAGCAAGTAGGTATAAAAAATTCTAGAATGAATCTTTTTTTGAGTATGAATTAACCTCAAAGTTTAGAAGGAAGTATACTTCTTCTGATGAGAAAGTCAAATGGCATCATCAAATTATCTTTCTTTTAGCTATAGAGATACTGTGTTACAGAAAGAACGCAAGTAATATGGATTATTGCCTTTAATATATATTATTTGGCAAATAACATAGCTATGTATATGCATCTTGTAACCATGAAACACAAAGATGTGATAGTATTGATTGTCTTCATTCAGTTATTTAATGCTTTCTGTTTCTTTTTGTCTTTGCTTAAAGGTAAGGTATCATTACAGAAGCTTGATAAAATTCTCATTTCAGGAAATTAAGTGTATATTCAGCATATACAGAAGTAACATTCATTTGCATGGATTCTTTTTTGAATAGATTCTAAAGACCAAGATGTCTTACCCAACAAACTAGCTTTTCCTTCACATTTCTCTTTCAAGTTTCACTCATCTTTTCCCTCTGTTATCATTCTTCCCTTCCCAACTAATACAGTAAAGATATCTACAATTTAACAAGAGGAGCCAAACATGTTCAAATTATCTTTCCTTTTCAGTAGCAGAATTTTTTACCTTATTAATATGAATGGTCATTTTGAATTATGAGAGACCCTGGCAGTTTGGCAGTTGGTCCAATGAAACCCGATTTAGTTTGTCTAAATAAATGATGCTGCCTCAAGCATTCAAATTCTGCTGTTTCCCAAAATATTTTTCTCATCAGAGACTGCCTTTCTATGAAACTTTACTTTTGGGCTTATTGGGGACTCCTTTAAATTTTGCGATTGGTGATATTAATAAGATGATAGAGGGAAGTCTGCAAATTTTCATCTCTTTTGCACATTGTTTTCTTGCCTAGTGGATAATGTTTTCCAGAAGTTTCTGGCCTAACTCATGTGCAGTAAAATTCAGTTACATAATTTTTTAAAAAAGCGTGTTTGTAAACTCTAAACCGTTTTAATGGTCATTTTTCTGAAACTAAAATATAGCATGAATGAGAGATAAAATAATGATTTTTAAAAGCTTAATTTTTCCTACCTTGCACAAATATGATATTGGCAGCAGTCATTTTGTGGCACTGGTTGGGGAATCAAGAGACCTGGTTTCTAATCCCTGCTCTGTCACTAACAAGCTGTGTGATCTTTGGTAAGTCATTTAAATTCTGTGTCCTTGCCTTTGATATTTATACATTAAAGTAGATATCTTCCTCCTAGGATCATTTTCAGGATTTAAAAATAAATATGAAAATGCAGTAAAAACTTATAGTTTTTTTAATGGCTTAACTGTACAGTCATAAGTTTTTAATAGTGTGACATTCTTAATCATTTCTACTATTGTCATAGGAATCACCTGTTTTGTGATAAATAACTGACATTTTTGGCATGTTATAGTTTTGTAAGGTAATCATCTAGTGTATATGAATTTGCTTTTGGGTATTAATAAAAATAATCTTTCACTTTAATGTTCTTTACTATCCATAAAATAATCTTTCACTTTAATGTTCTTTACTATCCATATTTGCTTTAGTGTATCTACTGCAACTGTATTTGTCATTGTTTTCATAAATGTCTTTTCATTATTTCTCCCAATCAAACAGGCTTATTAGAAAGCTATACTTTGTTATTACAATGTAATATACTACACGTGCACATATGCACAGTTAGCTTATGCAAATACTTCTTTGTACTATATGGCTTAAGAATACAAGATGCCTAGCTCATGTGGTGCTTAACCAAAGAAACAGTAAGCCGTTTAAAATCTGAAGGAGAAACTGGTTGGACATATTGTAACACAGTATATTATACACAAAACCATACTTTAAGAGTAATATAGAGTTTTTTTTTTGTTTTTTTTTTTTTTTTGAGACGGAGTTTCGCTTTTGTTACCCAGGCTGGAGTGCAATGGCCCGATCTCGGCTCACCGCAACCTCCGCCTCCTGGGTTCAGGCAATTCTCCTGCCTCAGCCTCCTGAGTAGCTGGGACTACAGGCACGCGCCACCATGCCCAGCTAATTTTTTGTACTTTTAGTAGAGACGGGGTTTCACCATGTTGACCAGGGTGGTCTCGATCTCTTGACCTCGTGATCCACCCGCCTCAGCCTCCCAAAGTGCTGGGATTACAGGCTTGAGCCACCGCGCCCGGCAATATAGAGTATTTTAAAGGGTAATTTTGACTACACACAATTTTCATCTTTGCTAATTTTAATATAAGCCTTTTGTAAGGTGCAACCCAAGTGTAATTTCAAATAGCAGACTGCTCTTTTGACCAGAATTTGTTAGATTGCTATTACAATGCTGATTATATCTTATAGTAGTTACTGTCATAAGGTTATATTTTAGGCAGTGGCTCACACCTGTAATCCCAGCACTGAGGCCAAGGTAGGAGGATCACTTGAGGCCAGGAGTTCAGGATATAGTGAGACCTCCATCTCTACAAAAAAATTTAAAAATCGAAACAGAAAGATCCCTTGAGCCCAGGAGTTCAAGACTGCAGTAATCTGTGATCATGCCATTGCACTCCAGTCTGGACAAACACAATGAGACCTGCCTCTTAAAAAAAATAAAAGTTATATTGTGTCCTACACACTATAGTTTCTGGTGTATAATCTTGGCAGCCCCTGTTCTGATTTTACATGAGGTGTTACCATTTTACAGAAAGTCTTGTTGTTGTATAAACATACCAGAATTTATACAATTAAATGAGATGTACCCTCTCTTCCATACTCTATAGGAAAAAAGGTAATCCTCTTGGAAAACTAGAAATATAGTCCAGTAATATTGCCATTGCTGAAAACATTTTTGGCATTGAATTTTTGTAATTACCTTCAGAATTTGCAGCATATTTTTTGAATATTTTTAATGATAGTTAATTCTTGTTAAGTTGGATTTCATTTCTACAAGCTGCTAACAGGTCTTTACAACTGAGACAAGTGAATGAAGTAGGTGTTGAAGCCACTGTTTGGGATAAAAAATGAAGTGTGATTATTTTCATATTTTTAGATTTTTATTTATGTTTTTTTTATAGTGTGTGGTTTATAGAAAGACTCCAGGAATATTCTGTGCTGTGGTGGAAATATTGGAATAATCAACCTCATAAGGTGATTTCTTTGGCGGGGATAGCTGTCAGTTCAATATATAACCTCTAACACATGTATTATGAGGTCAGTCTCATTAGATTGTGATCATATTTCTCTTTGTTGACAACCACAGAAGTACATGGGTATTACTTTTTTTCTAGTTATCTTACCTTACTTTTTTTCTAGTTATCTTACCTGTCCCTAATTGTTCTTTTAATATATTCTTGTGATCATTTTAATGGAATTCATGCTTTTCTAAATGATAAGCTGACAGCTTTTGTTTTCCTTCCCAATACCATGCTCTGTTTTGCCATGAAACTTACTTGTTTAATTCACCTAACTACATTATTGGATTGTTAGTTAAATTTTCTATTGGATTGTATTCTATCTATAACTTTGAGGGAAAGCCACTCCCATTTTATTAAGGTATAAAGAGGCCACAATCTTAGTGGATATGTTATCTCTCAATTTTGCACTGCTCTCTTTTTTACGTCGTTTGTTACTTTATAACCTTCTTTGTGTAAATTGATCTTTTATAATTTATATTATTTCTCTATTCAGAATCTTTGCCTGCAGGATGAGTTATCCTGGTAATCTCATTCAGTTTTCTGTTCTTTTCTCCTTTTTTCCAGCATACAACTCTTTTTTTAATGTATTTTAAGCCACACTTATTCACTGAACATACCATCTTCTTTCTTAAAGCCGTAGTTTTGTCCTTACCATTGTTACTTGCCTGACATCCCTTTTTCTTTTATTCTTTCTGTTCAAATACAATGAATCCTTCAGAATGCTCTCAGATCACATCTGTTCAAGATAAAGTGAAGGACTTGCCTTACTGATTTCCCTGGATCTTTCCACTTGTATTGCAGTTATTTATGTTATTCATTTGATACTAAATACTACCTTGAAATGTTCTTAATTATTACATTTTAGTTCTACACAGAGATAATCTTCTAAAGGACAGGACTGTGATTTTTCTATGATCAGCACAACATACAACATATTCAGAATAGATGTTCATATAATTATTTCATAAGCATTCAGTAAATTATTTGTTAAATTATTGTTCTGCCATCTTCACTCAGATATTTCATGTGATTTTGCCTTTGCGGACCATTAAATAAAGCCAAATTAATATAATTTGTACCATAAATGCAGTCATTGCTGTAATCTGGTTATCACTGTTATATTCCTAACAACTTTATTTTGTAGAAGCTTAAGTGAAAATGGTACATGTTAGAAGACATGAAACAAGGAAAAATTCTAAAAGTCACGTGCCTGAGCAGAAATCTCGAGTTGATTGGAGGCGAACTAAAAGAAGTAGTATCTCACAATTATGTGATAGCGATGAAGAGCTTGATAATGATGAAGAATTTGATAGTGATGAAGAGCTTGATAGCGATGAAAGTGTTGATAATTACGAAAGTTTTGATAGTGATGAAGACCTTGATAGTAACAAAGGACTTGATTGTAATAAAACACCAGGAAGTGAAACAGAGCTTAAATTAAGTAAAGTTGAAAGTGAAGAAAACGACAGTAAGAATGTCATTAACACTGGCAACAGTTCAACCTATGTAGAAGAAATGAACAAAACCAAACATATGAATATTGACTTACAAGATCAGGAAAAACATCTAAGTCAAGAGGATAATGTTCTCAACAAACAAACTGGACAAATAATAGAGGATGATTTAGAAGAAGAACACATCAAGCGAGGTAAAAGAAAAAGGCTATCCTCTGTGATGTATGACAGTGATGAGAGTGATGACAGTGATATCCTAATTAGAAAAGCAGGTGTTAAACGTCCACGTAGAGTGGTTGAAGATGAAGGTTCTTCAGTGGAAATGGAGCAGAAAAGTCCTGAAAAAACATTAGCTGCACGAAAGCGAGAACAACTTCAGAAGCTGAAAGAACTCTCAAAACAAAGATCTCGTCAGAGACGCAATAGTGGTAAAGATTTTGAGGTGTGTTGTATTTTGTTGGTTTTGTTACTGTTTTTTGGTTTTATCCTTAAAGTATTTAATTTTTATAAAAATCAAAGTGCTTAGTCTGTTCCATTTCTCAGTAATTCTAGAATCAAGTGTTCTTGAATATGTTTGATTATACTGTTGTACCTATATACTGTTTTATCATGAGCCTCAATCTGTCCTTCTTTTCTAAAATTGAAAGACTATTTATTGTTTTGCATGATCTTTTTTGTTTTTTACTTCTTATAATTCTAATGTCCATTTTAAACATTTTATATCACTTAAACAAGGTATATTTTTCCTGTCAATAATTTCAAAAGTTCAACATTTAATATGACAAAATTATTTATTGTTAACCCTAAAATATGAAGTTAATTTCTATGAATCATTTTTTTGCTGTCAGATTTATCTCTCTTTTAATTTTGTATCCATACTTTCCATTTTAATGGGATAATTTACTGAAGCATTTATTTTAATTTAATTAGGACTCTGAAAAGGAATCCTGCCCAAGCAGTGATGAAGATGATGAGGAGGAAGAAGATGATTGTGAATCTGATGAAGATGGAGATGATTATATTATCGATGACTTTGTAGTGCAAGATGAGGAGGGAGATGAAGAGAATAAAAACCAACAAGGAGAAAAATTGACTACATCACAACTGAAATTAGTAAAACAGAATTCTCTTTGTAAGTTCAATATTAAGAATATTTTATGATTTGTTCTTATCATGATATTACATCAAGTATCAAATTAGCCTTTTCTTATTTTTCTTTTTGGGACGGAGTCTCACTTTGTCACTCAGGCTGGAGTGTAGTGGTGCAATCTGAGCTCACTGAAGCCTCCACCTCCCAGGTTCAAATGATTCTCCTGCCTCAGCCTCCCGAGTAGCTCGGACTACAGGCATGTGCCACCACACCAGGCTAATTTTTTGTATTTTTAGTGAAGATGAGGTTACATCATGTTAGCCAGGATGGTCCCGATCTCCTGATCTTGTGATCTGCCCATGTTAGCTTCCCATAATGCTGGGATTACAGGCGTAAGCCACCACACATGGCCCCAAATTAGCCTTTTAATATCATATTCTAAATCATTGACTAGGAACTGTGGTTTCATTTTCAGATAACCTTGTCAGTTTAATAGTTTATTCCAGTGGTCTCAGGAACCAATTACATTTTTAAAAAATTATTAGCCCCCACAGGCCTTTACTTCAGTGAGTTATGCCTGTCTATATATATTGACAGGCATAACTCACTGAAGTAAAGGCCTGTGGGGGCTAATAATTTTAAATGTAGAAATCAAGACTGAGAAATTTAAAATATATTTATTAATTCTTTTTAAATAACCCTTAGTCAATTTATTACATTAATATAAATAACAATTTTATGAAAAGTAACTATATTTTCCCCCAAAATATGAGAAATGGCATTGTTTTACATTCTTGTAAGTCTTTAATGTCTAGCTGATAGAAGCCAGCTAGATTCTTATATCTGGTTTTACATTCAGTCTGTTGTGACATGTTGTTTTGGTTGAAGTGTATAAAAACAATTTTGCCTCACACAGGTAGCTGGAAAAGGGAGGAGTATCTTAATAGAATTTTTAAAATAATTGTCGATATTCACATTTGGTACTATGCCAAAATTTGACAAATGGTACTACTTTCTTAAAGGTAATATGGAATTCTAAACCCATGTGAATGAAGTTTTAGTACTTGTATAACCATTGCTCTGTCTTGTAGTTTAAATAGATCATTTCCCCATGCATGAATCTGTGATAAAATGCATCGGTCATTTGGAAAAAATTGGTTCGTCGGATGATACAGATCCTCCAAATGTTGACATATTTCATTATATATATACTTTTAATTATATTCATAAATATCACCACCAGTCCCATGAGACTATTTCTAAGGTATTGAGAAGCTGTCAGGCTCACAATAGCACATACAAGTTTTTCAGAATTATAATTTCTACTTTAAAACTTGATTCTTATCATTGGCAACAAAACACTGTGAATTCTTCTTTTTGAACTAACAGGCTTACTTTGTTTTTTTGAGAAAAGTCTAACAGGTTCCAAAGTCTGAATAACCGGAGCTTATCACGCTTTCAAATAAAAAATGGTAGGTATTTCTTGAAAAATGAGGCTTTTCCCCAGCACGCATAGTCGCACAGGTGCTTTTCCTCAAAACAATCATTGCACTTTGGTATGCAGTATAAGTACTTTTTTGCACTTCCTGTTTCATCCCATAGAATATTACAAAGATGTGTACTTCAGAGTCAAAATTTAATAAAATTAATCGTTTTACTACTTCAAAAAGGACATTCTAAAGTGAAAGTGGCTTTTTTACTGTGAGTGCCTAGCAGTAATGACTATAATGATTACTAGTAGTACTGCTGCGATGATTCAAATTAAGGGGCCAAGTGACTTAGCCATTGCTGCTTTTATATCATCAATAAAAATGTCAACACAGTGAAAGAAGCAAATAAATAATATCTTATTGTTATTACTTGAAACCACAGATTTCCTTAAATGGACTTGGGCACTCTCAGGGGTCTGCAGACAAACTCTTTGAGAACCATTGGTTTTATCAGACCTTTTCAAGCTTCACTCAAACAGTGAAACTTATCAGAGATAGGACATTACTTACCTGAAAATATAAATCATGGAGCCTGAAAATGTAGGATATACTTAAATTATTATTATTATGGTTCCTGTAATTGTACAAAATTTCAAAGATTGTTTTTATGATGTTTTACAGCTTTGGTAGGAACAGGCTGTTGGATGAATACATTTTTAATTTTTTTCTTTGAGTGCATTCTTTCCAAATATTTCAGAAAAGGCCATATTGACTAAAATTATAGCATAATTTGATTTATATCTCATGATTTATAATAAAATAGATTTTGAGATATGAATTACATTTCAAGAAATTTGGCAGTTAGAGATGCCAGTTACAGGCATCTCTGCTACAAGTGAATGACTGTTTTCCTTATATCCATAGGCATTGGCTCACTTGACACCTGGACATGTAAATTACAGGGATACTCAATTAGGAGATATCCTATTCTGGGTTATTTAGAATGTGATAGAACATTTGTTGAGAGATCCCCACTCATACCAACTCCTGCCAGTTAATGAAAATAAAAGGCTAGCATATGGGAACTTCAACCTCTTTACACCTTTTAGCATTTTTTTTTTTTAAGGGCAGCTTTGGAGTTACAGAAATACTGAATGGAATGTACAGACTTCAAAAATACCCGCTCGCATACAGTTTCCCCTATTATTAACCTCTTTTATTAGTTTTGTAACTCTGTTACAATTATTAACTGTAGTTCATAGTTCATAAAAGGGCTCACTCTTCAAGTAGTACCTTTTATGGGTTTTGACAAATGTGTAATGACAATGACGTGTAGCCACCATTACAGTATCTTACAGAGTAGTTTCATTGTCCTCAAAATCCCCTGTGCTCTAATTCATTCTCCTTTCCTCCTTCCTGAATCACTGATGTTTTTAACACTCTCCATAGTTTTGCTTTTGCCAAACTGTCATATAGTTGGAATCACATAGCATGTAACTTTTCAGCCTGTCTTCTTTCACTTAATAATATGCATTTAAGTTTCCTCCATGTCTAAACATGGCTTAATGACACATTTCTTTTTATTGCTGAATATTTTTCATTGTATGGATGTACCACAGTTTTGTTTATCCATTCACCTATTGAAATACGTCTTGGTTGCTTGCAAGTTCTGGCAATTGCGAATAAAGCTGCTATAAACATTTGTGTGCAGGTTTTTCTATGGACATAAGTTTTCAACTCATTTGGGTAAATATGAGGAGGCTTCCTTTTAAAACTGAGGCTTCCTTTTAATACTGAGCATCTCTACCTCAAGAAGATGTATATGTATTTATATAGATGTATATGTATTCCTAATTACAGCTTCTCATCCAGCTCTATTATCTACTCAGTTCTCTTTATTTTCAATGATTTAATCCCTACAAACTGTTTTTCCTCAACTTGTAACCAAGTTCATGCCTTTGCTCCTTTGAGCTGGCATGTTGCATTGGCTACTATTTTAAATTTTATCTTTTTGTTCCTATTTCCCAATAACTCTACAAAACACTGTATTTGGGCTTTTGCTTATGTCAATCTAGTGAAATTGTTCTTAAGTTATTGATACCCTCCGAGTTGCCAGAATACCTTTAGTTCTTATATTAACCAGGTGTTGCCATGTGCTTTACTACTATTGACCACTCTCACTTTCAAAATGCTCTTCTTTTACCTTCTGTGGTAGCCCACATTCTTACATTTCCCTTTGTAACATTCCGTTCATCGTTTTCTATTTATCCTATAAATTTTGATGTTTTCAGGGGTTCCACCCTCAACTATCTTCATTTTGCTTATGGGTTTGGACAGTCTCTTTCCCATTACTTCAGTCCAGTCTTTAAGCAAAAATTCCCAAACCTTTATCTCTAGCCAAGATTTTTCCTAAACATAAAGCCTGATTGTTTATTATCTTATTGAAGATTGTTATCAGACTTTCAGATATCTCAGGCTCAATGGGAACAAAACTGAATGATTAGCAGGTAATATGAAGGAGCTTTGAGTTGTAATATAACTCTTTTGGTGGTGGTTATGTAATTTTATGCATTGCCATAGAACTGTATACCAAAAAGAATAAATAAATTTTATGGTTTATAAAGTAGTAAAGCTCTATGAAACAAGCCATGTGGGGGCCCCTACTTCCAAAAAACAAAAACAAAACCTAAATGGTTAACCAGGTTCCTTTCTCTGTATTTCTATTACCCATTAGAATTTGTGACACATTATAGAAACTCATTGTTAGTTGCGTAGATGGTTAAGATAAGCATATTAGCTAAAGACTCCTAAATGTTACAGTTCAGGACTCAGAGAAATATTGGACATCTGATTTTTTCAAACATTAGAGAAAAAAATCATACATTCTAATGTGATAATTTGATTGAATTGATGTTTTTAATATTTAGCAGTTCTGTGCCATATTTAAATATAAATAAAATTTAATGTACATAGTTTTCAATTTGCCAGGAAATTATGTTCTAAAAATTGCTATAAGTTAATTCTTACATTTGAAAAATCAAACTACATGTCCTCACTAAAACAATAACCTATATGATGAATAATGAACACCACTTTATGACTTGGGTTAAGTTGTAATTAAAGCAGTATTCCCAGTTTCATTCTCCTGCCAGCCAATCATATTCAACATATCAGAATTTGGGAGAAACATCTCCTAACTCTAAATTCAGTATTCAGCTGACAATCGGAATCAGTAGCCTATGCACTTTGCCTTTTTGAAGTGAGCAATTCTAACCTGTAGGAAGACATTTTGTAATTTCTTTTCTGCCATTTGCCTCCGAGAGATGCATCTGTTCTACTTTAAAACAGGGTAGTTTCCCTCTTACTTCATAGGTGAAACAGTTGAAGACAGTCGTAGTCTTTTTTTTTTTATCATCTATCCCCATTATATTTATATTTATATTATTTTTATATTATGTCTCTATATTTATTCTGAAACAACAACTCTTAGAAAAGATATGGTAAGGAGTAGACAGGGACAGACTAGCAGTGGTCCATTGCATACCGCATTTACATAGTTCACACATTAAAAATACTGTATGCAAGTAGAGAGATAGGAAAAACCTTCAGATTTGTGGATACTAAATATTTATCTAGCACTCTATTATATATTCAGAGTCACGGAATCAAGTGGTAGAGATAAGAGTAGAATACATTTCAGTCTACTAGTGCCTTGCTAGAACACTGGAAATTAGACTGAGTGAACATCAACTTAGTCTCCACCTATTAATTAAAGAAAACCATTCTACTAACACAATAAAGAGTGGGCCTAAGAACATACTCAGAGCGATTTATGTTAAATATTAAATCTTAGAACTTTCCCTTTGTTCTAGGATAAGTAAAAAGTACCTGTGAAATTATATTGCAGTGTAAGGTAAAGATAAACTCTGGGATAAAAAACTGTGAAAAGTATTTCATTAAAGGAAACAAGAAAATGGTATAAAGCATTTGCTATGTAGTCTATGAAGAAGAAATTATAGGGAGAGAACAATTTGAGGTGAAAGAGAGCTAGTTAAGATACGAATTGCCAAAAAAAATTGAAATATAAAGTCAGAAATAAAGTCTGTATTGAAAGCAGTAGAGAGCAGAACTAACATTCCAGAAAATTTCATGAATGACAGGAGATACTTGAGAAGTTTTAGCGTAGAGAAGAAAAAAATAGTTATAAAGGAGGAGATAATAAAAGACTAGAAATGACCCTATTTCATAAATTTGGGGGAGGGGGTGGCAGAATTATAGAGCAAATGGAAATCTAAAGGAAAATTTTATAACTTTAGTTAGATATGTAAAAGAAGATTTGAATATACTAAAAATCATACCATATTTTTGGATGGGAAAACATAAGATACGAATTCAAAGTTATTATAGAAGAAAGTATTCTTGAAGTATTTTCATAACACATAACACATTTATGCAGATTAAAGAAGCTTACATTTCTAATAAATTGATGAAAATAGTTTGCAAACGTGTGAACTATTTTTCTAATTACAAAAATAAAGATCTCTAATCATTCTTTTTAGATCTCTAAAATGGCTTAAAATTAGAAGTCATTAATATATTACATTAATATATCAATAGAGAAAAAAATCATATAATTTATGGAGATTCTAGAAAAAACATTTGATAACATTCAATGCCCATGCCTGGATTTTAAGAAAAGCAGTTGTTAAAAAATTAGTAATAGGAGTGTATGTCCTTTACATGACAGTATTTTAAACCAAGAGACAACAGCATACTTAAAATGAAACACTAGACGTATTTTCTTTAAAATCAGGAACGTGACAAAAATATTTTCTCCTTTGTTCTAGATGTTTTGAAAAAGCAACAAGACATACAATAACTATTGAAAAAGGAAAGATACTATTTGAACATATATTTGTGTGTGTGTGTGTGTATTATGTACACACACATAAGCTAAAAGTTTCTGACTTATTTAACCAAAGATACAGAAGTTAAGAGAAGGAATATAAATATTTTGACAGCAGGAGTAGATGTAGCATATCTTTCCATGGCTTGTATCACATTCCTTTTGCCCTACAGGGGTGAAGGTAGGGGAGCTATGTTAAAGTAGAAAAATGAGTTAGTTTCTTGTTCTGGCTCTGCCTCGTATACTAGGCTGACACCTCCATTCCAGAAGAAAGTACATCAAGAATCTATATACTTTTACTTAAAGAATATTCGTAAACATTCGCTTGGTGATGGAAATAAATTTAGCGTTAGCAAGACCACATTCTCCTTAGGGTCATGGGAGAAAGCAGAGATAGTGTCCAGGAATCCTTTAACAATGTCTATCTCCAGCTTTGTAATGTTCCAGGAAGCTTATCTCCCAGAAATATCCAAGAGAATCTGACTATTTTGAAATTGGCAAAAAATCGCAGAAAAAAAATCACCAGATTCACACTAAGTATGTAAATCTCAATGGTTTTCTTGTATACTAATAATAATTACTTAAGTCATGTAATCAAGAAAAATTCCATCTACAATGGCAACCAAAATAAAATTCCTCAGTCTGGTATTAAAAAGAAAAGTATGGCTTTATAGGTAAAAAAATACACTTTACTGTGAAACAGAACAGAAAACATGAATAAGTACAGAGACAATCATGTTTCTGAAAAGTAATATGTATAGAACAAGAAGTTATTTCTTCTGAATTAATTTTTTTGGTTAAACTTTGCAAAATAATTCTGAAGAATGACAGCCAGATCAGTAAGAAGGGTAGGTGGTATTGAAACAAATCTTGGCATGTATGTGAAATTAGTACGTGATGTAAGATACATGGAAATCCAAGAATGATTACAGTACCAAATGATTGGATATAGGGAAATTGATTAACTACCTTAGAAAAAAATAAGTTATACATAAACACAAATATAGTATTCTCTTTTACATTTTTCAGTTTTTAAAATAACCACGGGGAAAGCTTATTTAAAATAAAATATTTAAAATATTGTTTAAAACAATATTCCTGGGACATTGCACAGAAGCTCATCCAATATAGGGGTTAAAGCACTATGAGAAAAGCTCTGGAGGAGAGCTGAGTGCTAAGCCTTTTTTTGTCTCCATCCAGTTGTGTCACCTTGGATAAGTTATTTTGTCACTGAGAATGCCATTTTTCTTAAGATGGGAGATTTGAATTTTATTTTCTCTAGTTTTCCCTCCAAGTCTAAATTCTGTGTTGTGACATATAATATCAAATCTAAATACCATGTATAACAATATTTAACTAGAGGATAGAAACATGAAATCTGGAGTTAGACTGGGTTCCAGCCCTAGTTCCAAAACTTACTAGCTGTTTGGTGTTAGGAAAGTTTTTCATCCTGTCTATATTTCAGTTTCCTCAACCAGAAATGAATCTAGGGTAATGATAATATCCCACAGGCTTGTTGTGAAAAATAAAGCAATGCATGTAAATGCTTAGAATGATTCCTGGCATATATTTTCTTGGTAATATTATTTTTCAATCTGAAATTCCAGGAGCATTTTTCCACCACCATCCACCAGTCCACTCAAGTGTAATGAAATAGGCCCCTTTTTCCTGACTTTTTTGAAGTACATTCTGATGTATATTGATAAAAGAAGAATCTTATGGTTGGGGACAAAACTCCTCAAATGATTTTGATCTCTGACCTTTTCATTTCCTCTTAGGGTCTTTCAACTAGAGAAGCAGTTAGTTGTCAAAATTCTGTAGCAGATGAGCAGCATTGGGCATTAGGACATTCAAGAATGGTAAATTCAGTAGGATGAAATATTTTATTGCAGTTTGTATAGTTAAACTTAGGTACACATGGGATGAATTTGATTTTTTTTCTCAGCACATCTGTTAATATTCCCAGTTTCTCTTAATACCATTTGAAATATGCTACTATAGATAGAGTTTAGATGGATTTTAACACAAAATTGCTCAATACCGTATTATATCCAGAGTTTGATAACAGTCTAGTCAAAGTTAAATTCTATTGAAGTATTATTTTTCAATTTTGCTCTACTTATTTTTAAGAAAATATTCACTAAAAGCCATGATTAGTGCTCTTATACTTTTCTTCTTCTTTTTTTTTTTTTGAGATGGAGTCTCACTGTGTTACCAGGACTGGAGTGCAGTGGCACGATCTCGGCTCACTGCTGCCTCCACCTTCCAGGTTCAGGTGCTTCTCCTGCTTCAGTCTCCCGAGTAGCTGGGATTACAGGTGCCCACCACTACACCCAGCTGATTTTTTTGTATTTTTAGTAGAGATGGGTTTCACCATGTTGGCCAGGCTGGTCTCGAACCCCTGACCTCCTGATACCCCCTCTTTGGCCTCCCAAAGTGCTGGGATTACGGGCATGAGCGACAGAGCCTGGCCAGTGCTCTTATAATTTTCAGTTGATAATGGGCCATCTAAAGGCTAATGCCCAGTCAAATGACCTGCTTTTGTCATTTATTTTTATTACTTTATTTTTGTCTCTTTAGCATTTCTATAGGTGTCTCCTTAGAAAAGAATGCATTCTAAAATGTACCCTAAAGTCTGAAAAAGAGTTATAAAGCCCTTTTAGTAACCAAAATATTAAGTGAAGACAGTTTTCCATGTTTAACCCCATCTTTCTTTTTACTTCAAATGGAAGGAGAGTCAAAATCTATCCATGGTTACTTATGATAGATCTTATTTTGCTTTAATCCTTGTCAGACATCTTCTATGTTTCCTGAAATACTCGGGCTTCCCTTAGTATATCTTCATATGTGCCCTGAATAGGGCGTGTATTCTACAGTGACTGTTAGATCAAGGAAGGGTTCATAGTTGATAGAGAACATTTCAACAGTCATAGTCAACTCTGATCCAAAAGTAATGAGAATAGTAGGAATCCTCTCTTATCGCTGCCTGCCCTGTCACAACAGATGATGTCATGTATGAGATTTGGTTAGTGAGAAAGTGGGCTTAAATATGTGGTATGGGGAAGGAAATATACAAGATTTCTAATTGATATAGAAAGCCCTAAATCTGGGGCAGCATGAAAAGGGAAATGGAGTTTTTTATAGCCATTGGGGTTCTGGCTAAAGTAGCAGCTTCCTGGTCAATTTCACATGTAATGTGTTTTACAGAATAAGTCATATTAGTAAACTGTCTTTGGAGGTTTTCTCTCCTGTTCTCTCACTCTAAGTGTCAAATTGATAAATATTGGTGTACAAGGGATAATTTTTAGTTTTCCAGAACATATTTTAATATTCTCTGAACAGTTTTCTTAAGTTTGGGAAGTGATTTGAAATAACAAGTAGACCCTTTAGATTGGAAGCCAATAAGTTTGGAAAATGGAGATTTTCTCCCTGACTAGACAAGTCATCGAGGAAGCTATGAAATTAGGATGATTAAACTGTTTCTACTATCTATAAAGTTTTAATTTCCTAGCATTGAAGAATGGAACCTATTGTATTCAACAAATTATTTTGTCTGCTGTATTCTAATATTTATTTAAAATTAATTTCAGATTCTTTTAGTGACCACTATACTCATTTTGAAAGAGTTGTGAAGGCTCTTCTGATCAATGCTTTAGATAAATCTTTCCTGGGAACATTGTATGGTAAGTTAATAGTATGAATGAAATAATTGGTTTTTATTACTTTTTCCAATTTTAAAACAACCTCACTTTTAAAACTATGTAGATTAAACAAAACCAACAAGGATCATTCGTAAGACCTTCCAATTTTTTCCCTGTAGGATCAGCTACAGCAAAACTCCATGTAAAATGCTTGTTAGTGTTTATTATCTGAGATATATGGAAAGTAAGTTTGTGACAGGTCCTTGTCCTAGATAGTTAACAGTGGATTTTACAGTGTAACACATAAAACAGCAGAGTGTATTAATACTCATGTGCCAAACCAGCCTCCCAGAGCTGTGAATTTCACTAAAAGTTCCTTGCTTTTTTCTGCTTTTGTGCCTTTGCCCATGCTTTTCTTCTTAGAAAATAATCCCTTTTTGTCCCAGAGGTTTTAGGTGAGTATAAAAACATTTCTACTATGAAACTATCCATGACCCATTCACATAATATTTGTTATTCTTATTTGTGCCACCATCATCCTGATTATGGTGGTACTCATGGTACTCATTTATATGCACTTCTCATATTGTATTGAAAATGCATTTTCAATACGAAAATACCATCATCCTGAGTATGGTTCTATTCATGTATATGCACTTTACATATTGTATTGAAAATGTATTTTTGCTTTCTTCCCTTATCATAGTGTGGGAGCAAATTTATATATATATTCATAGGAATCTAATAGTGCAGGAATCTAATATTTCTTAAGTCGCTGTCATATCCCCAGCACTCTGCTGTTTTATGTGTTATATATTCCTGCACTCATGTTTCTTAAAGTCTAATGGGAGAGACAGACAATAAATGAGTAAGCATAATATAATATGATTTCAACGAGTGATTAGTTGTTATAAAAAAGAATAAAATAGGGTAAGAAGATAGAGAATAAGGGAAGGTAAAGTTTATGTTGTATGTTAGTTCGAGTGGTCAAAGAAGGCCTCTCAGGAGGTAACTTTTAACAGAAACCTGAATGATGCAGAGGGAGTAAGTAATATGTGGATTACTTGCTTAGCAGAGGGCAAAGGAAGTGCTAACGCCTTTAGAAAGGAGTAAGTTTGGTGTGTTCAAGAGCAACTAGAAGGCCTGTGTGGCTGGAATGGAATGAGATAGGAGAGAGGGAGGAAAGAGGAGCTCAGAGAAGTAGGCTGAGGACAGAAGCCATGGTAAGGTGTTTGTAAGCCATGGTAAGGTGTTTGAATTTGTGATGATTTTAAGAAATATGATAAATTCATTAGCTAAATTAATTAATAAAACTTCCAGTAAGTTAGGAAAATAAAGCTTGAATTCATACTGTGACACATATATAGCGTATATACTGTGAGCCAAATTAGGAAGGCAGTAATGAGTGTAGCATGCTAAAGAAGAGTGAGAAAAAGGCCTAGCCAGAAAAGAGCATTCTGATTTGTTGACACAACAAGTTACTGTGGAATCAGTAGAATAAAATCAGTTGCAGATGACCTTGAAAGTCTACTCAGAAGTTTGAGCTTTATCTGGAATTCAGGAGCTAATCCATGTCAGTTTTGTATAAGAGAATAAAAAATAATTTGGCAAGCTTTTTCATCCGGCTTTTTTTGTTATCAGAAAATAATGTTAAAGCTTGTTTTATACTTATAAGGAGAACTATAGTGTCCTTACTCTGTTTTTTCTTAATGTTCTGATGGAATTATTTTTTTAATATTTTTTCCTAATTTAAAATGTTCCCAACCAAGTCGGGAAGAAATTTTTAAGTATTAAATTGCTTAAATATTTCTTATTAACAAAATGATTTTTTGTTATTTATCCCTTGAACAGATGGCAAGAGGCAAAAATCATATGCAAAAGATATGCTCACATCTCTTCATTATTTGGATAACCGCTTTGTTCAACCTCGTCTAGAGAGTTTGGTATCTAGAAGTCGTTGGAAAGAACAATATAAGGTATACAGTTTGTTTTTGAATCTCTGCTTGGGGGTTGGGGCAGCAGACCTCTCAGGATTTAAAATCTAGACTGAATAATCTTCTAAAATACTGGCATTTCTTTGTTAAATAATCAGCTTATTATTTCTCACATCTTCTAAAAGCTATTATTGTTTTAATCATTCACATTAACTATATCCAATAATTAAATGGTTCAAAATGACGAATTTCTTTAGAACATCTCCAGGGCTTAGCCCATCTTTTAAAATTAGATCATCTCACAGGGTGTTGTTACATCAGAAGAGATAGTTCCATAGCCAAAGAAATTTGAGAATCAGTGGATTTAATGTAATCTGGTTTCTTTACTGGAAGACTTTTCCCGAGCATTATATGTGAATTTATACTGTAAATATTCAAAGGGGGATATAGAATGCAATACTTCCTAAATTTGTGTTTTAGTCTATGAAGCTCTGTTTTATGAAACACCTGTTTACCTCTTAATGATGCTTGATTTCCATAACACATTGTTTGGCCTAGATAGTGTTTGGCATCTTTTCATTACTTTAAGATTGTATAATTCTACCAACTTGGAGAAAAACCTTTTTAATTTATAAGATTTGCCACATTTTGTTTCATGTACTAGGTATCTATTTTATGATCTCTAATAGCAGAGGATGTACTATATGATTTGTAAGGGTTTTCTCCCCACTACTTCTAACATTCTATATTCTAATGATTAACAAGATAAAAAAAATGAAAAGATAATCAAAGTTTAAGTTATTTAAAATCCTTTTAGCACTTAAATCACTAGTTCCTGTACCTCATTTATGACAAGAGATTTGGTTCCATCCAAGGCTTTTCAGCCTTGTTGAATTATGTGGTGATAAATTAGTCATAGATTAGATTTAAAAGACAGTGTAGGATTACAGAAAGAATTAAAAGACTTTAAGTTGGAGGATGGCTTGAGTTTAGGGCTATCTTTTTGGCTTTTGATAAATTTAACCTCTCTGACCCCATTTCTTCTTCATAGGTGGCAAATATTTATCTATTTGCCACCTATGAAATACTGTATCTACTTACTTTCTTTGAAGATAAAGTACAAGCACGGCTTTTAGAACGTGGCATAAATACTGTTTTATTTAATAGAAAAATATAGCATATACAAGCATACCTTGTTTTATTGCATTCCACATTATTGCACTTTGCATATAATTTGTTTTTTTTGAGATTGAAAGTTTTGGCAATTCCCCATGGAACAAGTCTGTTGATACTATTTTTCTAACACCATGTGCTTATTTGTCTCTGTCACAATTTGGTAATTATTGCAGTATTTCATACTTTTCCATTATTACATATTTTATGATGATCTGTGATCAGTCATCTTTGATGTTACTATTATACTTGTTTGGGGGTGCAACAAACCATGCCTACATGACAGTGAACTTAATTGATAAATGTGTGTGCTCACCGCTACATCAACTGGCTGTTTTCCCATATCTCTTCCTCTCCTCAGGCATCCTTATTCCATAAGACCCAACAGTAATGAAATTAGGTCGATTAATAACCCTAAAATTGCTTCTGATTATTCAAGTGAAAGGAAGAGTTGCATGTCTCTCACTTTAAATCAAAAGTGAGGAATGATTAAGCTTTTTGAAGAAAGCATGTGAAAAGCTCACTTAGGCTGAAATGTAAGCCTCTTGTGTCAGACAGTTAGCCAAGTTGTAAATGCAAAGGAAAGTTCTTGAAGGAAATTAAAAACAATACACAAATGATTGAAACAGCCTTACTGCTGATATGGAGAACATTTTAGTGGTATGGATAGAAGATCAAACTAGCAACAACATTCTTGTAAGCTAAAGACGAATCCAGAGCAAGGCATTAATTTTTTACTTCTATGAATACTCGGTGAGGTGAGGAAACCTCAAATACAAAAATTAGCTGGGCTTGGTGGTATACTCCTGTAGTCCCACCTACTCAGAAGGCGGAGGCAGGAGAATTGCTTGAACCTGAGAGGCGGAGGTTGCAGTGAGTCAAGATCACGCCATGGCACTCCAGCCTGGCGCCTGGCAACAGAGCGAGACTCTGTCTCAAAAAAACCAAAAATAAATAAAAATAAATATAAAACTTGAAAGTCAAAATTACTCCTTGATCCATGGGCTACAGAATGGATGTGTTGGAAGGTATTAAAATGACATTAATCTCCTTGTAAATCTCCATCAAAACTCTTGGGTGATCAGGTGCACTGTCAATGAGCAACAATATTTTGAAAAGATGTTTTTTTACTGAGTAGTAGGTCTTAACAATGGTTTTAAAATAGTAAACTATGCTGTAAACAGATTTGTCATTCAGGTTTTGTTGTTCCATTTATAGTGCACAAGCAGAGTCAGTTTAGCATAATTCTTAAAGGGCCCATTTACCTAGGAATGGTAAATGAGCATTAGCTTCAACTTAGATCACCAGCTGCATTAGCCCCTAACAAGACAGTCAGCCTGTCCTTTGTATTTTTAGTATAAACAGGGTTTCACCATGTTGGCCAGGATGATCTCAATCTCTTGACCTTGTGATCCGCCTGCCTCAGCCTCCTAAAGTGCTGTGATTAGAGGCGTGAACCACCATGTCTGGCCTTCAAGTTTTATTATGTAAGAAATAAATTCCAGGCCAGGTGCAATGGCTCACGTTTGTAATCCCAGCATTTTGGGTGGCCAAGGCAGTGGATCACCTGAGGTCAGGAGTTCAAGATCAGTTTGGCCAACATGGTGAAACCCCATCTCTACTAAAAATACAAAAATTAACCAAGTGTCATGATGTACACCTGTAATTCCAGCTATTGGGGAGGGTGAGGCAGGAGAATCGCTTGAACCTGGGAGGCAGAGGTTGCCGTGAGCCAAGATCACATCACTGCACAAGAGTGTGGGTGACAGAGCAAGACTCCATCTCAAAAAAAAAACAAAAGAAATGTATTTCATTGTAGCTGCCATAGACTGTGATTCTTCTGATGGATCTAGGCAAAGTAAATTAAAAACCTTCTGGAAAGTGTTCATCATTCTAGATGCCATCAAGGGCGTTTATGATTGATGGAAGAAGGTAAAATATCAACATTAAGAAGAGTTTGAAAGAATTTGATTCCAACCCTCCTGGATGACTTGAAGGAGTTCAGGACTTCAGTGGAGGAAGTAACTACAGATAAAACTGAAGTAGCAAGACAACTAGAAGTGAAACAAAGATGTGACTGGTTTGCTGCAATCTCATGATAAAAGTTGAATGGGTGAGGAGTTGCTTCTTACAGATAAGCAAAGAACATGATTTCTTGAGATGGAAACTACCCCGAGGGAAGGAAAGATGCTACAAACATTGTTGAAATTTCAACAGTGGATTTAGAATATGGTTGTTAGAGCATTGTCAGGGCTTGAGAGGATTGACTCCGATTTTGAAAGAAGTTCTGTTCTGCATAACGTACAATCAAACACCATTGCATGCTACAGAGAAATCATTCATGAAAGGAAGAGTCAATGGATGCAACACACTTTATTGTTGTCTTATTTTAAGAATGCATGCAACAAAATTTATTGCCTTATTTTAAGAAATTGCCACAGCCACCCCAGCCTACAGCAACTAGCTCCCTATCAGTCAGTAGCCATCCTACTGAGGCAAAACACTATCAGCAAAAAGATGCCTACTCACTGGAGTTTCAGATGACTGTTAGCATTCTTTAGACCTAAAGTACTTTTTAATTTACTATAGCTTAAATTACATACATTTTAGACATAACACTGTTGCATACTTAATAGACTACAGCATGGTGTAAACAACTTTTATGTGTACTAGAAAACCAGAAAATTTGTGTTACACATTATCGGTATATTTACTTTATTGTGGTGATCTGGAACGAAATATGCAATATCTCTGAGGTATACCTGTACCATATTTATAGATTATTTAACTTTAGCCAAGTAGTCTACAAGTAAACTAAAATATTTTATTATCTTCAAAGTAACCCCATGTGGAAGACACCATTTTTGGAGAGAATAGAGGGGTCTCACTCTGTGGCCCAGGCTGGACTTGAACTTCTGGGCTCAAGATCTTTCCACCTCAGCCTCCTGAGTTTCTGGGACTATAGGCATGTGCCACTGTGGCCGCTAGAGGGCACTATTTTTTTTTTTTTTTTTTTGAGACGGAGTTTCACTCATGTTACCCAGGCTAGAGTGCAATGGCGCGATCTCGGCTCACCGCAACCTCCGCCTCCTGGGTTCAGGCAATTCTCCTGCCTCAGCCTCCTGAGTAGCTGGGATTACAGGCACGCACCACCATGCCCAGCTAATTTTTTGTATTTTTAGTAGAGACGGGGTTTCACCATGTTGACCAGGATGGTCTCAATCTCTTGACCTCGTGATCCACCCGCCTCGGCCTCCCAAAATGCTGGGATTACAGGCTTGAGCCACCACGCCCGGCCGAGGGCACTATTATTTCCCCTCTTTTAGAGATGAGAAAACTGTCTCAGAAAAATAAAGTAACATAAGGTTCCACTGTTAATAATTAGACAGGCTTGTATTAAACTGAGAGTCACTCAGACTCCAAAACCCATGCCAATATGCCATATTATGTTTTACCATATTGTGGTGGGTACTACTGAATTTGGTTAATCTGATATTGGAATAATAACTGTAGGATACCAAAACATATTAGCTGAAAAATGGAGACATAGATGATTCAGTAAGATCTTAATAGGATAAGCTAGGTTATGCTACAGAAGATAAAGAATATGACAAACAAACCAAATAAACCAACAATAAAATCTCAATGGCTTAACCCATCAAAGTTTATTTTCACTAAACTATTTCACTATTTTCAGTGTTAGTCATCAGGGGTGCTTTGCTGATTGTAGTCACGCAGGGAAATGAGCTGATAGAGCTCCATAAAGGTTTCATCTTACCATGTGTTTCCATGGAGTACAGAAGAAGCAAGAAAGGAAGGTGGCTAGTTACCTATTCGGTCTGAATTTCAGCCTGTAAGTAATACATGTCATAAAGTGCCACCAAGTATGAGAAATATGAAAAGTTGACTCCCTGAAAATGTGGTATTGAATCATATAAAAGGAAACTGTCAGTATATTGGATACTTAATTAGCATCAGCTGGTAGAGGATATGAATGTGGTTTAGTAACCATGCTAATATGCTCATTGTGTGCAGTTCAAATATTGTATTAAAACCTAGTCTACACTACCACTTAGAATACTAGTATTTAGCACAGGCCTAGAACATAAGCAGAAATTCTCAGGCACAAGTAACTAATAATGAAGCTTATTTATAAATGCCAAGTATTTTCTCTTACTTATTGATAACTGAGCTATTAAACTGTCCATATAAATACTGGACACATGGCAATCCTAGTGTCAACTTGTGTTTTCCACAGGACTATAGTAAGTTATCATAGGAGGATTGAATTATTTCTGGAATTTTTTTGTGTGGAAAATACATAATTCATACAATGGAAAGTGAATGTGATTTTTTTTCTGAAGTTTTAACTGGGCTACTTGAATTATTTTTCTTATATCATTCTACATTTTTGCTGCTTCTATTTTTAACTAACACCTCATTAACATTAACTAGAGTTGAGAAATGGAAAAGAAGTAAATTAAAATCTATCAAGGTTGCTACACTACTTAGTAGCTGCACTACTTAGTTGCAGCTGCAAAAGTGTAAGAGATATGAAACTAGTTTTTTCCTAGTCTGGTTTCTTTTCATGTAATAGCCAAGATTATAAATTGCTTTGTTTAAAAATATCTTGTAAAATACCTACTATGTGCTCAATATTAAAGTAAGAAATGCCAGGGTGTTTTCCTCTTATATCTCTTTGCACTGTGATTCTTAAGATGTTTTAATTTGGTTAGATTCTTACTCTTATTCTTATTTTTTATCTTTTAAACTTTTTTGTATTTTTTAATTGCTTTCAGGAGCGGGTAGAAAATTATTCTAATGTAAGCATTCATTTGAAGAATCCTGAAAACTGTTCCTGCCAGGCTTGTGGACTGCATCGCCACTGTAGATATTCAGTGCAATTATCAGGAAAGTTATATAACACCAGGACCATGGAAATAGATGATTTCATGTCACATGATAAACAGGTATTTTCTTCCCTCTAATTTTACTTTTCAGTATTTAGAAATTTTTAGTTCATAAACTTCCACAAATAACCCTAAGTATCCTAAGGAGAATTTGACCCAAGTAGAAACATTTTTGGCATATAATTCACCAAATTGGCACTCCACAAGTAAATAATGTAAGATAGCTGTTCATCTAATATGAGAGAATTTAAAAAAACACTGTGCTTCAACTAGCCTCTTTTAGAAGTATGTCAGAGTCTAGAGCAACCACCACATACTTAAGATGCTATTAATTTTGTATGAATAGAAAAAACTGAAGAGTAAGTATTTTTTCGACAAGAACATAGCAGTATAATGTGAAATGATAAAAAGTGCAGATGCTGACAACTTCTATTTATTTTTTCAATATTTGTAAGATTGCTGCATTTACAAATGCAAAAATTACATTTATAAATGCAAAAAATATTGAGAGCTTTTTCTGGTGACTTTACATATCCATGGAGAAGGTGTATGTTTAGAGAGGAAGAGACCCAAAGTTGTCTCTGAATCCTCCTAGTCAATTATTAAGATGGAAATTTGATATTTATCTGAATTCTTCTATTAAACTGGGTAGTATGATTTCTCAGTACTATTGAGCGGTAGGTGACCAGTTTCCTCTGAGAGATCTGGTTGCAAGAATTACTTAGAAAGGTTTTGTGGGGATAATGAATTCAAAATTGATCTGTAATGTTTTGTTCGACATGTTACTATATAAATATGAATATATATATATATTTAAGTCATATGTAAATTTCTCCATTGTTTAAAAACTGATCTATGACTTTTTATGAGCTAAGATATCTGGAATCCTAGCGAAAGTGATTTAAAATACATTTGGGACCATTTTCTGTTATGTAGATTAAATACATTGCTTTATTCTTAGTCTTTGCTGTCTATAGCTAATCCTGAAGAGGACAGTAGAGTAAGAAAATCACCTGTAGAGCTCTGACATTCCTGTGAAGATTCTATATAAAATAGTATTCAAATATTTAAAAAGCAAAGAATAAACTGAAAGCATGAACTAAAAGCAAAGAACATTAATGTTACTAGCCACATAAGAGAAAACTACAAAAGTTAACAAATATATGGGAAAATACTTATTCTGCATGTAAAGGTATACAATTAAAACTACTCTATGATGCCAGTTGATAACTCTTAAAGTGGCAAAGTATTTTCAAATCAAATGATAAAATGCGATGCTATCAAGGTTGCATTGAAACTAGTAAGTTCGTGGAAAGTAAGACTCCTAGAGGAGGCCGGGCGTGCTGACTCATTCCTGTAATCCCAGCACTTTGGGAGGTGGAAGCGGGTGGATTACATGAGGTCGGGAGTTCGAGATCAGCCTGACCAACATGGAGAAACCCCGTCTCTACAAAAAATTAGCCAGGTGTGATGACACACGCCTGTAATCCCAGCTACTTGGGAGGCTGAGGTAGAAGAATTGCTTGAACCCAGGAGGCAGAGGTTGCAGTGAGATAAGATTGCACCATTGCACTCCAGCCTGGGCAGCAAGAGTGAAATTCTGTCTCAAAAAAAACACTTCTAGAGGAAAAAAGAGGTGATATATATCTTTTAAAAATACTAGGTTTTTAGAGCTAACGTCACAAAGCTATATATTATTTAATGTCTATAAGTTTATCTTTTGCAAAGCAGTTCAGTAAAAAGCAGATGATATAATCATGAAGTTGATTGAAACATTATTTACAATACAAAAAATGGAAATAATCCAAATAAAAATTAGTGATTTAATAGCCTATGGTATAGCAGCATTATGTGGCAGAATTTTTATAATACAATCATTAAATTAAATTATGAAAGTTAGGAAATAATGCTAGGTTGAAAGTATAATAATAATTACTGTTTGCACTATCTTTACATCTATATAAAATGTGTGTATGCATATGTAACCATATGTAAACATTAGTTATTATTTATGTTAAGGATGTGATTGAAATTTTTAAATATAAAATTGTTTTTTCACTTTTTCTTTAAAGTGAAGAATAACTTATTAAAATTTATTTTATATCCTGCTTCAGTACAGTGTAAATGCATATATGTAAAGAAGGAAAAACCAGGAGAGAAAATAAACTAGTTATAATCCAGAGCATTAAAGAGACTGTGCCTAACCCCACACCCATCTTCAAGTTATTTTGAAAACTAATTATTTTGTGTTGCTGCTTGTAGTTATGTAAAATTGAGATTCTTTAAGATTAACTAAAGTTCTTTTTAAGAGTGTAAATAATACTTTTAATGAATTCACTTAGCAGCAAATTGGTTTCATATGAAAACTTTTCTCCTTACTTGAGATTAGCTTATTTAAAAGAAAGGATGCTTTGATGGAAAGTGGAATTATTGGGGGAAGGGTAATTTGGTTACAACAGTATTGATAGGGTACTAAGACGAGAGGGCTAGGACCATCTGAATGTGATAAATTTAGGGACATAGATGAGAAGGAAAGTACCTGGATGAAAGAGAGTTGTGAAATCTGAAAGATAGTTTGGGAAAACTAAAAACATTCTTGGATTTATGTTTAGTTTTGCCTAGAGACTATCCAGACTCCTTAAGATACTTAGGATCTGGTGGGAAGAAGCAATAATTTTGAGGCAAATGGCATTGTATAATATGTCCATGCAAAAAACAAACAAAAAACCAAACCAAAAGGAAATAGAATCCTTTGGATTGGTATTGTACTGTCTTTCTGAAGACCCAGAAACAGAAAACAAACCTTTCCCCAGAAAACTTTACTACTGTTTCCTTGAGAATCTTCGTCTTCATTCTTCTTACTTTAACTTCCATAAGGAGCAGGCTCCTCTGCGTATAAATAAGAGCTTAGAGAACTACTTCAAAAAGCTACCTACAGTAGGCTGGATATTACAAAGTCTGCACAGTGCATGTTTCACTATATTTCCTTGCCTCAGTTTGTTATCCAAATTTAATTTACACTCCACATGATAGAGCTAATAAATTAGAAATCAGATTCTTTCTGCTGCTTTCTTCTGCTTTAGGAAAATTCAGTGATAGATTTTTAGCTCCATCTCCAGTCTTTAAATATGTACTACTGGTTGGTTCATACTGATAACTGAACTGACTCAGTCTCATATTTATCAGTTCATAGAACTGTGCTTAACCCTGCATAGTCATCATTTATATGTCATCTTGCTTATCTGCTTTGTGAATACTCACCACAGCACTTATTTTTCTACCTGTGGTATTTTTATACTAATTTTCTTGTTAGAATAATTTCCTTAATGTACAGAAATTGAACTAGATAATTAGAGTTATTTCTAAATATATTTTTCTGGACATTTAAGGAAATCATTCTAACACCATAGATTGTTACCTGTTTTAGTACTTTATACAAGTTGATTCCTACAGTATAAGCTGTGTTGTACTGTATATTTCAATTCATATCGTAAAGAAATACAGTGGGCTGTAACAATACACTGAAAATAGGCATGGGGTGAGGGTAAATTCACTTGGAGAAATATTACAGCTATCATATGCATCTACTGTTTTCTGGAAAACTTTAGAATAGTGGTACCCTTCTATATAGGCTCTTACATATAAAATGTGATCAAGTTTTGGGAGTAAATAATATAAGAATATTTTAAGGTAATTTTGGATTTATAGATCTATATGATGATAAGTAGATGCCAAGAGGGTAGGAATTAGAAATGGAAAGAAGTAAACCGTAATGTTAAATATTTTCAAAGGATACTTTTTTTTATATACAGGAAAAAAAAAATGAGACTTTTAAACACCTCTCCTTCCCTCTTGTTTCAACTTAAGAATGCTATACAGATAAATTCCTCTTGTTTTGTGGAAATACAGAATAAATGTGATAGAAATACAAGTCATTTTATCATATGCCTCTACTTCATCTAGAACAGCTGTAGCTGAGTTCTCCCACACAATCTACTTTGATGGCAGAAATGGAGACGCACAGGCTACCCATAAAGTCACTGCAACTTTTGTGTTGTCTTTTTACACAAAGTTGGAGGTATTAACAAGTGAATTGCTGAAATGTCATTTACTACCAGGACTGCTTTGATGATAAGGTTGAATTGGAAAACTTACTTTTAATAAGCAAGCCATGTACAGTAACACCTGTTTACTTCTATGATCTGCAAAGCGGGAAGGTTTTTACAGAGCCATGAAAAGAAATCTGAACATGCTTTTCTTAAACTTTTGAAGATTTGAAGAAGGATTGTAAAATGTCCAAGATACAATTTTCACACACACACACACACACACACACACACACACAAAACACATCAAACCTGACTATTGCTAATTTGTGATATAACTTCTGTTCATTTTTGGAAACATACTCCTGGTTTGTCTTTCATCACTTGTATGTTTCCTTGCAGTGTGGATTCAGGAAACAAGTGTATTGTTCTGTCAGGCAGAACACAAGTTATATAGATAAATATTAAAACTATACCACTTGTACTCATGAAAGCATAACCCATTAGTGAACTTAGTTAGGTATAAACACAAACACATAAGTCAGCAAGAAGTTTACTGTTGCCTTAGGTTACTCCATGAGAATAAAATTGACCATATCATAATGTTGGGAGCCCTTTCTGATGCATTTTCTACAGTGGCTAAAATAATTTAGGTAAAAATATATTTAATTTGGTTAGTGCAATGAGACTGTCTTCCTACTTTAGCTGTAGGTTTATATAACAAATTTTAAAAATTCAAAACATTCTCAAAGATAAAAGTTCTGATTGTTTGATTTCATAAAAAGAGTGTTCTTAATCATAGAATTATACAAGTCCATATAAACATAGGAATTAAAATGCTTACAGCTGGCTGACAGCAAAATATTGATGTCTTATTCACATACAACACCTTAAAGCAACCAGTATGCCTAAATACAAAGTTATTTTTTAATTTCCATCTTTTTTTTTTTGGGAAAAAGAAAAGTATCTGGTAAAAAACTGCCAATACTTAATTTTGGTGTAAGAGTTTGTTTCAGTTTTGCATGTCGCTTATAGCTAGAAAATTATTATAATCCAGGCATTTTTAACTCATAAATATAGACTTATAATGCTTTCCATGCTTTTTCTTACCTTACCCATCTTCTGCCTCACATTACAGCCATTTCTCTTTTTTCCCAAACTTGGCAAACTCTTGTGTTTTCAAGACTTAGTTGAAGCTTTATCAGTTTAGGGACTTTTCTCCTCTCTGGATTCGGCTAAGTGCCCTTCCTCACTAGCATTTTGATAGCATCTTGACACAGCAGTTTTCACATTGTTTTATAACCATTTGTCTTTCTCTCAGAACTGTAGCGCCCTAATACAGGTAATACATCTTTTATTTATGTATCTCTAGTGCCTTGCCCAATATTTGAAACCTCACAGGCGCTCAGTGTTTGACTAGTTGTGTAAGTAAGAGAAGGTAAAGGGATCATTTAAAGATAATAATGCATTTCAATTCCACCACTAAAGAAAATCTGAAAACCAGAAAGGAAATACATTCATTACCATATTATTCACTTCATATGTCAGATAATAATCTTTATTTCTTGATTTAGGTGTTCACTGTTGGCAGAATTTGTGCTGACCGTACCAGAATTTATCATAAACTGAAACATTTTAAATTCAAACTGTACCAGGAATGTTGCTCCATTGCAAAGACAGAAGAAGTTGAAGATGAACAGGTTAAAGAAACAGTGGAAAGAATTTTCAGTCAATCAAAAGAAAGTGGCTGGATTAAGGAGGTAAAGTGAATATGTGAGAATCTCAATCATGTCGATTCTGGAGCCTAATTGTGATTAGCAAAAGGAGACAAATGATTAGAAGATAGTGAAATTTAAGAGAATCTCTTTCTTCTCTCCTTTGTATTTTCTCTTCTTTCACTCATTCCTTTCATGCTTATCACTGTCCTTCTGAATAGATGCCCTGATGTTCTAAGGATTCACTCAGCCCATCAGATAAATTTTAATAAGCATTAATACTTTACTGAAGGACCTCTGTCCTTTCACTTTTATGTATGTATTGCTTACATATATATTAAGTCCCCTGATTTTTTTTTTTTTGACAGAGTATAGGACTCACCTCTGCTTGTCTGCTTCCTATTCTTTAGAACAGTTCTTGTGACCTGAGAGTGAAGAAGCACCTGGTGCCAGTCTGAGGAAAGGATCTCGGCTGCCAGTTCTAATACCACCCACATCCTCTTCTTGAGGACATGGGACTGAGCAGTGAGCACTATAACTGAAGATCGAGGGGAATGCAGAGGTTTCAGGCCACGGCACTGATTTTGACTCCCCCATATCCTATTGATCATTAAATTTGATATCAGGAGTAAAGTGGGGGCTTTGAAGAGTGCACTGGATTCCCGAAGATCTGCTGGCAGCTTATAAGCTCTGGTCTGCTCACAGAGCTTTTAGAATTGTTTATGGTATATGGAAATAATGCTAATATGACTGCAGTCTTCTAAAACCAGTCTAGTTACATGAATGTATAAGAGAGAACAAATCGTAGACTTTCAGGCAACTCATATCAACATTTAATCTTCAAAAGAAAAAAAAGCCTGACCTGAGATCCATTGCCTGGGTTATATCATAGGGACATTTGTAAAAAAGGAATATAAAAAATAAGGCAAGAAAGCTTAGAAAACAAACTTATTGGCAGAGGGAAAGAAAAGAGAATAGGAAAGTTTTTAGGACATGTCATGTTTAGTGGAGGTCTCCCAGTCTAGAGAATGACATCATTATTGATTTCCCTTTGACAATTATCCTACCACCACAAACCACCACCCAGTGATCTTGCCTGCCTCCCACATCTTGATCCTTACGTCCTTTCTCTCATTTTATTCTCTTCAGCTTTTTGCCTTTTACTTTGCTTCTACTTCTCCTACTCCAAATGCTTCTCCCCACTTACCCATACTCGTTCATTTGCCTTAGGAGAGAGCCATCACTTATGCAGTAACTTCCCGTCTTCATTTTCCTAGACAACATTAAATTCTTAAGTGCTTTTATTGATGCCTTTAAGTGTTGCCAACTCTCTAGTAGAATTGCAAAACCTATTGGGGTAGCACAGTTATAAAGAATTGGATACTATGTATAGAAAAATCACTGTGCATATACTGTATATGTTATATAATAGTATCATATATGGGGAAGAACACTGAACTTCTTGCAGAAAAAAAGCATTTTCAAATCACATGTCCCAGAGAAAGCTTAACAAGTTTTAGGACACCAGAAGGGACCTGGAATTTTTAAAAAAACATATTCTTTTTTTCATAATATAACACTTGGCTCTCAGGAAAAGAAAGGAGCTTAGCCTTTCTTTTCAAGAAAGCTCAGTGTCACATTATGCATAAAGAATAACGTTTAGCATTAGGTAGGCATTGAAGGTATTTCAAGATTGTGCATATCTAGGACAATATGCACATTTTTTCCACATAAAAATACCAAAGATCTTCTTTTTTTTTTTTTGAGATTCCTCCATTTAAAAAATTTGTAGGTTTTCTCAAAAGATTTCCTAGAAACCACAGAAGTTTATAGCCAATATAAACCCATTTGCAGCTTTTTGTGCTATGATGAAATTTCAAAATTTGTCAAGTGCTCTGATGTTTCTCATCCCCACTCTGTCTATCCCTCTCACTGTGTGCCTTTGGGTGATAGCACTGCATGTGTTTTGTGATGCGTGCCGCCTTTGGCTACAGTCTGGTAAAGTTACCCTAACCTTTTAGAATGCCTGGGGCTCAGGGTTACCTGAATGCCATCTCCATAGCATTTTCTGCTCGTATTTCCAAATTATGCCAACCCCTTTTTTTGCCTTAGACATACTACTTGCTTCTGTCTTTGTGCCTCTGGCTTGTATTCTACACCTTACTTTTTCCCTTGCCTGCTTCTTCAGCCATTTTACTTTCATTTCCTCAGGATGTCTCAGTCAGCATGTCTTCCCAAAGACATGCCAACTAGACTGACTTCATTCTTCTTGTTCTTCCTTCTAAAGGTTGAACTAGGGTGATCCATTTTTAATGTAATAATACTAAAGGGGTGTAGGAGCAACTTGAGTATAAGAAAAGAACAAATAATAGGAAAATTTTAATAAAACCAAAATACATAATAAACATAATGCATATCTTATTCTGAAGAAGAGTTCAATAACATACTCTAATATGACACCGGCAAAATTCTAATGAATACTGGTTCATTAAGAAGAAAGTGTATATGATGATGGGACCTCCTGAGAAGTTGAAGATAGGATTATTGGGATTGGCTGGTGGATGCGTGAACACCAGGTAGTAAAGAAAGCATGTCAATAGAAGTATCAAGTGCCAGTTTGTTCTGTAAATACTGTATGTAAAACTGTTACAAATGGCAGTTGTATGTAAATTTTAAATGTATTGAAGAATAGTTATATGAATAATAATTTAAAATTATAATTAGATATCCCTTGGCTTCCTTAAACACTTGTCATTTCTTTTCTTTCCCTTCCTTTTCAACTTTTTCTCTTTTTTCCCACCCATAAACTGATGCTTCTCAAAACATGGCCCTCAACTATGTCAGAATCACCTATAAGTTTTTGAAAAATGTATAATCCCCTAGCCTCATCCCAGATTTATTGAATGACAGACAAGCCTTGTGGATGTTAAACATCCAATATTTTTAGCACTGGTGATTCTTAAGTAGATAAAAGTTTGAGGGTCGCTGCTAAAACGTACCTGTTAACACCGAATTCTGTCCTCATCCTTTCAGTTTCCTTTGCAAATCATTTCCCTTCTGCAGTTCTAGCTGCTACTTCTGAGTAGACGATTCTAAACTTCTCTTATATTCTGACCTCTTTCCCAGACTTCATTTCCACAATTCTAACTGTTTTCATCAGTAGGTCCATCAGGCATTGTAAGACAGTAGTCTTCACTATTAAGACCCAAACCCTCCAAATTTTTAGTAAAGAATTATGAGAGCAGCATCTTTAGGGGGAGAGGATAGCAGAGTAATACTAACTGCAATGTTGTGAGTTTCACTTTCCTTTTCAAGATTTTTATTTTTTTTCTTGCCAAAACTGCATCCCAACCACACCATTTAAATCTCAGAAACAGCATACTCATACAGGTTAAAAATATAGGCTTAAGTATTTGCTTTGCCTCTTACTAGCAGTAGAATTTGGGAGCAAGCTATTTTACTTCTCTAAGCCTAAGTTTTTTCATCTGTAAAATAGCAACTAAAACAGTAATAATGATAAGGGTTTTGATTGTGGAGATTAAATGTGTAATATGTTTTAAGCATTTCGTATATTTCCTAGCTATTAGTAAGTGATCAATTAATCTTAACTGTTAGTTGCAATGAACGCAAGGAGAGGTTTTCCTTCCTCCTAGTTAGTATAGTTGAGATAAATTTTAATTGTCCTAGGTGGGTGTGGTGGTACACAGCTATAGTTCCAGTTACTTGGGAGGCTGAGGTGGTAGAATCACTTGAGTCCAGGAGTTCAAGGCCAGCCCCAGCAAGATAGTGAGACCCTGTCTCTTAAAAAATTTTTTAATTTTTAATTTTCAAAAAGAAATTTAATAAATAATAAAGAAGATATGAAGAAAGATAATATGAAAAGCATTAAAACATTCAAACTTTTAAATTATAAGTTTCTAATCCTAGAGTACTTTACTTGTATCTAATAAAACCTATCTAAGTACTAGGCCAAAGAAAATTCCTAAGTAGTCCCTAGGATATTTCCCCTTCTGTTATGTTCTTCTGTCTTTCCTGAGAAGGAGATCCAGTCAGATATCATAGGATTATAAAAAAGAGTTTCATAGCCTTCAAGGTCTAGAAGGAAAATGCACTTCTCACATTCCCTTCTGTAGGTCCCTGTCACCACAAAAGTCAGGGTCTCTGGGATCCTCTCTCATTTCACTGAGGATAGAAACAGAGTCAAGAAACCAGTATGTCATTAATCCCCTCACCAAAGTAAATACTTTGAACTCTGTATATCTGAAACTGAAATCATATATATCTTTCCCTCCCACAAAGATCCTGCAAAATAACCCTGCCATTATTCTGCTCCATCAACTTTGAAATCTCTAAATCATTCTTGACTCCTCTCTTAACTTGTTCCACCTTGTTCTTTACTCTTCATCTTCATTGCTATCACTCAAATTTGGATCCTCATGACCTAAATTGTTATCATAGATTGATAACTAGTTGCTGAACTATTCTAGAATGAATACTTTACCAACTCTCTTAAAATATACCTTAGATCAGTTCAGTCTCCTGCTCCAAAACCTTTAGCAATTTTCCATTACCTGTCAAATGATTGTTCAACTCTTTAGCCAGTATTTTATAATTTGTATTCTCTGAATTCAGTCTCTTTGGTTCAGTCTTTTTCCCTCTCTGCTCTCTTAAAATACCCAGGTTGTAGTCAAGTCCCATATTTTCTTGTCATGTCACTGTTTGGTGGTCTATTGTCTTTTACTGAAAACTCTCGCCACCAACTCTTTGCCTACCAAATCTGTTTTCCCAGGACAACTTAAATGCCACTCTTTTGCTGGTTACCTCAACTAACCATGACCTCTCTTCTGAACCTCATGACAGTGTCTGTACCTCTTTTGGCACTTATTACTGATTGTTATTGGTGTATTACTATGAACTCTATTCTCCTTAGGGGCAGGGAAAGTATCTTTAAAACTTTGTACATAGACAGTCATAGCAGAGCCTTTGATATATATGTTCAACAAACTTTTTATTAAGTTATTGAAGTTACTACATTTCTACTCAAAATATGATAATAGAAAAATTGTAATTTACAACACAGTTAGGAAATTAATAATGTTATTCACTTTGATCTCTTTCCAGTGCTTTTTATGAGTTGGAAATGCTTATTTGAAATTAAGTTTCTGTTTATCATAAAAAGATTTTTGTTCACGATTACCATGAAATGAACTTATCCTAATTGTGTCTGTAGTTTGCAAAGGCCCAGTTTATCTTCATTGCTTTGAGTAAAATAACTAGCTTTTCTATTGTATATACAGAAATATGGTCGACTTGAAGAATATCTCAATTTTGCGGATTACTTTCAAGAAGAGAAGTTTGACTGAATTGTAACACATTTCCATCAGAGAAGATTTTTTAAATTCCTATAAATGTGAAGATCATGATTCTTGTTTTTCTGTATCATGTGATGTATTTATACATTTTATATATATCTTCATGGCAAAATATTTTGTTTAAAACATGGTTATCTTTATTCCTGTGAAATGGCACTCTATAGTCTGATTGAACTTTTATGTGATGTACATAAAACATTATCTTAATAATTTTTAGGTCTGTAAGTGTATTTTAAAGTTATATAATCATGGCTTTACAACAGATGACTGTCAACTGAATGAGCTGTCCATGTCCTGCCAGTTTAGTCAAAATATATTGTATTTTAAAAATATATTTAGACTAACATCTACATGTATTTTTGCTGAATTCCTGTCCAGACCTGTTTATTATCCTTTTACAGTATTAAGTGATTTTCACTAACATATTTTTTACTGCTATCATCAAATCAGTGGGCCATGGAAGAAACTTCAATATATCATTCAGTTCAATCCCCTGGCTTCAGAAACAGATTGTTGCATATCCATTCTAAGTAGAGGAATGATTTTTTCCTTTTCTAGAAAGTTTCTCTTTCAAACATATTTCCGGTCTCCAGAGAGTCTTTCAACCTTCACATTCAGGAACAATTTTATGTAAATTTTCATGCTTTATAATGTTGATGCTTTTTTTCTATTCAATTTTGTCTATATGTTAATGATTAAGATGTTTTTTATTTATTTTTAGCCATAGCTTTTTCCATGTAAGTATATATGTTAGGGTCAGAACTGCAGAGAGATAAATACAGCCAAAAACACTTCAAAAGCATATTTTAGTATCTGCATTGCTTTGCACATCTAAATTTTGCCAAAAAGTAATAAAGTAAAATGGTCTCTGAGTGAACAAATGAACCCTGTCTATTCTATATTTTTAATTCTTAAAAGTGGTATTGTAGTAGGATCTATTCTACTATGGAACTTTAGATACCTTTTTCTTAATGGAAGTGTTGATTGAACTTGGATTCATCTATTACATGACTCATGGCATGGACTGCCGTGTACGTATCTATAAAAAGCTACATTAAGCCCATATATAGAAATTAGTTAATATTTTCTACAATTCATTTCCTGAAATTATCCATATTATTATTGTAAATAAATGTGGTGGAAAAAACTCACAATGTGGTGACAGTACTGATGCTGATGTTTAATGTTTAATGAGGAGTACATACCTTTTTCATATGTTGTGAAATGGAAATTTCACATAATCTGTATTTTTTTTTTTTAGATGGAGGTTCGCTCTTGATGCCCAGGCTGGAGTGCCATGGTGTGATCTGGACCCACTGCAACCTCCACCTCCAGGGTTCAAGCAATTCTCCCACCTCAGATTCCTGAGTAGCTGGGATTACAGGCATGTGCCACCACACCTGGCTAATTTTGTATTTCTTAGCAGAGATGGGGTTTCACCATGTTGGCCAGGCTGGTCTCGAACTCCTGACCTCAGGTGATCCACTCATCTTGGCTTCCCAAAGTGCTGGAATTACAGGTGTGAGCCACCCCACCCGGCCTACATATCTGTATTCTTATTCATATTTCCCTGGCACATGGCAAAATAATTCTTAACTAAATTCTAGGGGAAAAAATAAAACCGTAATTGAAAGGTGAAGATGAAGGCACAGCATCTGCAAAGAAGCAAGGCAGAGTTAGAAGTGATAGTCATGGAGGAAGAGTAAAAGATCACAAATGATTTATAAAAAGGAAGCCCAGAGGAAATGAAAAATAATGATCTCTAAAGTATCTCCGATGACCTAGAGGCATCACTTCTCATATGGGATATTACAGACAAGCTTGAGATGGCTAAAGAGTAAAAGATCTTAAAATGTTGTCTATTACTTTTAATAGCATGAAGTTAATTTGTAAATTAAGGTACTAATAATTCCAAGGACTTATGTGGATCAGGCATCTTGTTGACTTGAAGCACCTTTCCTATTGGAACAGCTGACTGTTGATCATAAAATGCTTATAGGTAGTTTTTCTGATGTCTAAGATCATTGCAACCAAGCATGCTACTTCAGTAGGAATTTGGAGAATACAAAAGGCTCTTAGGTCATGGTAACATCAAAAGAATGGCAAAAAGGCTGTTAGGAAGTGAGAATTAACATGTATTAGGGGGCCAAAAGCAAGTAGTTAATAAGAAAATGGAAATGTTAAAAAAAATAGAATTAACATTTACAGGTATTATGACATATTATTTTATCATCTTCATCAATATCATTGATCCAATAACAACACAAAAACAGCTTTTAGGCTCATTCATTTCACATATCATTTTACATGACTCTAAAGTTTTATATTTGGCCATTTATTACTATAGTGTTAGGTGCTT